TTCCAACTAGGACATTAGCGTTTGGCACAAAAGTATTGCCAAATTTCGATGAGTTATGCATCTCCATTTTTTCCATTGGAGCATTATACTAAGGCATATGTATCTACCTCATTGTCAATCCAGTATTAGGTTTTGTCTTTTCTCGAAGTTTTTCAGCTTTGTAGCTTTTCATTACCTCCGATTCCTCGAAGGCTTTAGCAGCAGCTGTCGAATACTGCACTACATCGAGGGCATAGCATGACTTCTCTGTCAACATCCTTTTTCTTAGAAAGAAACTCAATCAGACTATCCCCTTCTTTTGGATAAATTGGTTCTTCCTCTTTAGCGAAGTCATCTAGCAATTCTTCAAGTTTTTCATCAAAGATGGATTCGACATTCTCATCCTCCTCGATATTCACTTCGACCATGTTGATCCCCAAAGAGATTGGTTCTACATACCCAGTATGAGCTGCAAATGGATCAGTATCCACTTTCATATCCTTCTCCTCGAAAGATAAACGATCCTCAATGATCGCCTTCTCGATCATATCCCTGAAACGCACACAATTATTAGTCCAATGATCATACATATTATGATACTTACATAATTTCTTCCCTTTTCTTTGTTCGAATGGAGGAATTTTATGGTTTTCTAGGAGTGCAATCTGTTTATCTTTTAACAAAATATCAAATATTTTATCAGCCTTAGTCACATCGAAACTATATCGCCTAGTTGTACTCCCTTCCACATTATCCCCTGGTTTTAACATTTGGCATTGATAGGTAGGGCCAGGACGTAATTCAGCTATGTTAACTTCAAAGTCCTCACTCGAACCCTCACAATTGGCATCTTCACTGATCTCTGTGTTTTCTACATTAGCCACCTTTTCTTTTCGAACAAATCTGTCGAACTTCCTTAACCTTTCCTTTTCTATCTTAATTTGCTCGATCCTTCTTACTTTTTCTACTAACTGGACCATATCTCTTAACTGTTCGTTTACCAATTTTTTCCGAATCGAAAAGTCTAAACCCGTAGCGGCAATTTTAACCAATTCATGTTCGAGAATATTCGTATAGCATCGAGACTTCTACTACCTGAACCTATTCAAATAGTCATCCAATGTTTCATGATTTTGTCTTTTTATATTCATTAAATCGACTATACTCACTTTGGTCTCTCCTCGAAAAAAATGTTCATGAAAATTACCTTCTAATTGAGCCCAAGTATTAATTGAATTAGGGGCTAAAGTCGTAAACCAGGTAAAAGCATGCTTAGTTAGTGAACTTGGAAAATACTTCATTTTTAAATATTCATTATTCCCTAAATCTCCACATTCGACTAAATACCTTGCTATATGTTCGACGGTAGACTCATTCAATTCTCCCGCAAATTTTGAAAATTTCGGAACTTTTGCCCCCCTAGGCAATTCTACTTGAGTTACATATTCTGGAAAAGCAGACACAAAATAGGGATGTTCATTTCGACCAACCTCGAAACCATGTCTATTTAGCACCCTTTCTATAATTTGATATAAATTTTCATCAAGATTCCTGTGAGGTCTACCTAAATTTTGAGGGAAGCCTACATTCCCATCTTGATTTTCTATATCGTTCAAGTTCACACTCATGGCTCTCGAGGGTGGATTGTCTCCCATTTTATCTCTTATTTTATTTATTAACTCATATAGAGGGGTTAGTAGATTACGCATCTGAGTCAACAATAAATTAAACATATCATGATTACTATGGTCCATCTATTGTCGAAGAGCCATCATAGTTTGATTACTTATACCTGTGGGGACATAGCTACTTTGCCGAACCAGAGATCCCTTATGACTTGTCCCTACATGTTGATAAGGATCCTGCATGATAAATCTCATTCCATTTGGTCCAGGATTGTATCCTTGTGGAGATACATGCATTTGTGGATTTGGCCCTAAATAAGGTACTGGCATTTCTACGTGTATGGGTTGAGTAGTTCGCCAATTTTGCGGCATACCCCATAGGTAGTCTCTAGTGGCATTTGCGAATTCTTGGGATACATTAGTTTGCCTAGCCACATTTTCGAGCACAACAGGAGGTGATGTTGCCCCCCTTGTCACAGTAGTCACATTATCTGGGTTTGGATTTCCGTTCTCTACATCTACTTGATTATCATTGTTCACTTCTCTCCTATTATTAGACGTAGACATGGTTCTTCCACTCCTAAGTCTCATAAAACATACATACCTAAAACTAGTTCATTTACGTTTCTTAATAAAACAGGTCCTACCGGGCGTGCCAATTTGTTTGTGGTGGCTCCCTCTACACTCAATGCAAAAATCTAGGTTCCTCATGCCTAGCACTACTGTAGATTTTGCACTTCTGTAGATTTTTCACTTCACAACATTGCGGTCTTGTTTGTGGTGGAATTTGTTTATGAGTTCTTTTTATTTGAACTAGAATGAAATCGTTTTAATTTAGGTATTTTACAGTAAAGTGGTTAAACTTACTTAAGAACGGAAATAGATGAGATAGAACTGATTAATAAACGTTTGTTTCCAGATTTTCATGAATGATGATCAAACAATAATTTGCATGCATGTAGATACTTAAGTTAACAGAATGGACAATAAATACATTGGAAATACAAATCATTGTCTAATTCGCATAATGATCAGGTTACAATATTAAAATCAAATAGTCTACAACTACGGAATTAAAAGAAGAAATTACACTAATCCTAGAAAAAGAAAAGAAATGTGGTCAAGAATTTGCCACACCCAACAATTTCATGCACGAAAGTCATATGCGCAGGTGGTGAGTGCTTGAGAGTGCAAGTATGATTTTTCCGACCACTTACACGAGGTTTCTTCTTCTATTTATAGAGATCATCGAGAGCGGTTGATTTTTTGTAAATTCATCGTGGGCGCACAACCGCTGTCCACTACGTCGCTTACATGGACTAAGGATATAACTTCTCGTAACCGTTCGTCCCAAATTTTTTCTCTCGATTCGATATTTAATAACCACCTTGATGTATCTGCTAACCTCCAATAACTTCCTTACGTTTTCAATCAATCCTCGAGTATGTGTGTTTATAATTCCTGGTTTCATCCATCAATTCCTTCGAGTAAAAATTTGCTCGAGTGACCCTAACAGGTCTCCATAATTTGGGATTTTCCATCTCATCCAAAATCCATCAGTTAACCATTTTTCTTAATTCAATTGGCCAAACAATGTTATATCACATCAAAATAACGCAAAATCAACAATTAATTCATATTCATCCAATTAAGTAACTCACTCCCCAATTTCATGCATATAACCCTAACCCTGAAACACTTCAATTTTTCATCAGATTAAATCACTCATGAATTCATGCACGAAAATGTCATAACAAAATCATACTTCAAATTAAATCATACAAATAGTTGCCAATAGGAATTCAATTTGAGACTAGAGGTTTAGGGATTTCTTACTATCCTTATCTCTCAATGCACACATAGATGCATTTATCTTACTATTCCCTCTAACCATAAGTGACAATTCCATAGTACTATGCACTCTATGTAGCTTGAGTTGCTACTTCGCACTTTCTTTGGTGATCCCTTCTAGGTTCTTCTCTACAGGTATTCTAAGAGTTTAAGAATGATGCATAATGAAAAACTAACCCTTGCTTTTGTATTTATGAACCTACAATCCAACTCATATATACTTTTCTTCCTTTCCTTATCCTCTTCTTTTCTTTTATTTAATTAATAAAAAATTATATATATTACAAACTTGATTGATTAATTATGCCCATAATATAATTTTTATTAAAGATATTTTATTTTATTTTATTTCAAAAAACTTGAGATATTACAACTATCACTACTATTATATTGACATAGAAACCACTACCATTATTACTATCTTTTGTTGCGTTTATTATTTTTAACATTGTCATCATTGTCACTACTATCAATACTTTTACTTATATCATTATCACCAACACTAACATTATCATTGTCATCATCATTATTAAGTCACCGGCCGCAACCACACATAAACATTTCTTTAAACTAATTTTAGTAAGACAATGAGTTTTTAGTGAGTTTATTTTAAAACTAAAACAAGGAAACAAAATTGTATCGAACATAATCGACATCTTGACCGACTTCTTATAATCAGCCAGTTGTTGTGTAATCTTTTAATAACTGACTTTAATAAAAATATTTAATCATTTATACTAATATTCCGCGATTGATAGGGTCATGTTAAAGTTTGAAAGTTATCACATATCTTTAATCACCAAAAAATGTAGGGAAACCGCAACCACACATAAACATTTCTTTAAACTAATTTTAGTAAGACAATGAGTTTTTAGTGAGTTTATTTTAAAACTAAAACAAGGAAACAAAATTGTATCGAACATAATCGACATCTTGACCGACTTCTTATAATCAGCCAGTTGTTGTGTAATCTTTTAATAACTGACTTTAATAAAAATATTTAATCATTTATACTAATATTCCGCGATTGATAGGGTCATGTTAAAGTTTGAAAGTTATCACATATCTTCAATCACAAAAAAATATAGGGAAATAGTTTTGGCTAGTTAGTGGAAGAAAACCGTTTCTAAGAGGAGATGAACCAAAACATCTACATTTATAAAAGCCAGGAAAACCCACAGAAAAAGGTAAAATTCTTCGTTCTTGAGAGATCTGGTCATAGTTCTTTTATGATCGGAACAAAAACTAAAACTAAAAATTAATTGTAGTTTTTAAAACCTTATTAAACTTAAAATTAAAAAACACCTCAAATGAGCCCGTGTTTTTACATGAAACTTCTTTGAAAATAACTTTGAAATATAGATCAGATCGTTTAAACATTGTCGGCAGAAAACATGATGATAAATCAGCCAATATTGTCCAAATGAAGTAACACATGGCTTCAAATCTGTCACATGAGACTAAAAGTGACAGTGAAATCTTAAGCCACGCGTAGGTGCATGCATGCAAATCTCCGGCCATGCACCGCTAAGAGAAGAGTTAGGTTTCGTAAGAAAATTGAATTGAAGTACGAGGTCCAAATTACATTCATATGGTTATTTATACATGGAACATTAATTAGGTGCATGCATAAGTTGGAAGATGGCACAATTAGTTGAAGTGCGAGATGAGGTTGGGAATCCTGTGCAACTCACAGATGAATATGGAAACCCAGTTTGGCTAACCGACGAAAAGGGCAACCCAGTGTACCTCACGGCTGTGGCAATCAAACCACGACACCTTCCTCAGTCCAACACTTCAATCACAACCTCGGTACCTATTCTTAACTATTATTCTTTCCATTAATTCCACCGTTTTGTTTCATCTATATATATATTATTTCAAAATTTTCATAAATACGTGGATCAATTGATAAGAAGTTGTTGCAAATTTTCGTTCTGGGTATGCAACTGTGACAAAAATTCTGAGAGAAAGTTTGGTTGTATCTTGTATGTGATGATTATATTCAACGCAAACAAGATTCTTTCTGATGAAAGATACATGTGGATTAAATTAAAAAATTCACTCTAAGATTTTTATTTTTTTTACAGATTCTTTTCTTATAGGTTAATTGCTAGATTTCTCGTAAGAAAAAGTATCAGATAATTTAAAATTTCTCAAAATATTTACAAAATTGTTTGTTATTAAATTTTATATTTATTGATCGATCAAATCGTGTATATATGTTTATTTTTGTATTAATATGAATATTTTGTGCTTATTATTAACAAATACAGCTAAACTTATTTGATAAGAAATATACGATTAAATTTATCAATTCAGGACTGTTTATATATATTTGATTGTTTTTCTTATGATTTGGCAATATACAATTTAATGATAATATGATTGATTGATTTCTTATTGGCTGATAGTAACATGCATAGAAATTAAACTGTATATGCCTAATTCTATGATTACAAATTATATTCTTGTTATCCAGAGTTATGTTTCTTCATCATTTTTAATTCGAACTAGAATATACTAACTTTTATTTAGGATTCAAGTTATGTTAATTCTTCATTCTATTATTTTTAAAACATCTAGAATAATTATATATACATATTTATTATAATTATTTCTCGCCTCATTATAACAACTCTAATTATATATACTTTATCCGTATGTTGAGTTTGAAAAAAAAAATCAAAATAAGTGTTATATTAAATTTTTAATGTCATATATATTAATTATTTTTTTATTTATATTTCTCCTAATATTTTTCATGAAGTGATTTTGTGTTGTGGCATATCTAATAAAGAAGATAAATCATAAAGTTAATTTTGTAAAATCATTTTTTTATTCATTAATTTTTCTTAATTTGTATAAAATAAAGTAAAACAAGACTAATTATGAGAGGAAGAGAGTACTCTTTCCATCTTACAATGATAGAAGGTTAATATTTTTACATATATTAAGAATAATAATAAGTGTATAACTTCTCTCCATATTACAATGATTGACGGTTAATATTTTTACATATATTAAGAATAATAATAAGTGTATAACTTCTCTCCATATTACAATGATTGAAGGTTAATATTTTTACATATATTAAGAATAATAATAAGTGTATAACTTCTCTCCATATTACAATGATTGACGGTTAATATTTTTACATATATTAAGAATAATAATAAGTGTATAACTTCTCTCCATATTACAATGATTGAAGGTTAATATTTTTACATATATTAAGAATAATAATAAGTGTATAACTTCTCTCCATATTACAATGATTGACGGTTAATATTTTTACATATATTAAGAATAATAATAAGTGTATAACTTCTCTCCATATTACAATGATTGAAGGTTAATATTTTTACATATATTAAGAATAATAATAAGTGTATAACTTCTCTCCATATTACAATGATTGAAGGTTAATATTTTTACATATATTAAGAATAATAATAAGTGTATAACTTCTCTCCATATTACAATGATTGAAGGTTAATATTTTTACATATATTAAGAATAATAATAAGTGTATAACTTCTCTCCATATTACAATGATTGAAGGTTAATATTTTTACATATATTAAGAATAATAATAAGTGTATAACTTTTTTATATAACTTTACTTAAATAACTTTACTATTTCAATAAATATATTACTTTTGAATGTGTTAATTAAATAATTTATAAAAGGGTAAATTAGTAAATAAATAATTAATATTACATTAAAAAATAAAGTAAAAATATCAACTGAAACATTTTTTTAAATACTAAAATTACAGTCAATTTAGGATGCTGCGAGTATTAATTAATCATTATTCTTCCAATTATGACTCATATGACCTATTGAGAATTATGAAAGTATGCCAAGTTTGCACAATATTTTCTCGTTGCAAAAGGCTCTCAATTTTCTTTAACTATATATGTTCTAGTCTAATCTAAACGCCACAATTACATATACAAACACAATTAAACAATAGCCTAAACGTTCTATCTTACTCGGTTTTTGCTTCAATTAATGTGCAAATATAGTCTGAGGATGAGGAGGAAGTGGAGAGGAACATGCAGGAACTCGATGATAAAATAATAAAAGAGAAGCTTCAAGGAGAAGGAGAAGGTGAAGGAGAAGGAGAAGGAGAAGGAGAAAGAGAAAGAGAAAGAGAAAGAGAAGAAGAAAATAAATTAATAAAAGAGAAGCTTCAAGGAAAAGGAGAAGAAGAAAAAGAAGGAAAAGAAAAGGAGGAGGAATTTTCATACACTACGACAGATACTACTACCACCACAGATACTGCTGCTGATCACCACCCAACCACAACCATAGCCACTGAGCATGAGAAGAGGAAGAATACCATAGACAAGATTAAAGAAATATTACTTAATATAACTTTTAATTTTGAGTTTAATATTGACCTTCCAAAACTATGATCGTTTTTTATCTTAGATTGTGATTTTGAACATTTTTTTATCGATTAAATACGTAAAGTTTGTACACTTTTTTTTACTTATATGAAAACTATGAAACTCAATTGATGTCCAAACCAAAATAAAAGATCATGAATATGGCTGAAATTGTTTGAAAAATAAATCCCATAAATAATCAAAATAATTTTAAGATTTAATATTAAATTCTTTTTTGGTTACTTATTATGGGATTTGTTTTTATGTAATTTTTATAATGTGTGATTCTTTTTAGTTTGGACATTAATTAGATTCTATAGTTTTTTGTGTAAGTAAATATAGTGAAACAAGTTTTACGTTTTCTCTTAGTTATAAAAGAGTTCAAAATCATGTTCTAAAGTTAAAAACGACCAGTGTTTTCACAATAAAATAAACAACAAAATATACTTTCATCGTTATAAATAATAAGAAATAGTTGTGGCTAATCTTCAATATATCGATGTAGATGAGACAAGAAGTTGTGTATGAAGAAATGAAGATATATAGCCACGTGGGAATAATTGAAAGTTATCTTTATTAACTTTTATGTGAAGTATTTCTTATGATTGATAATATTGTCGTGTTATTATTATTGTTGTTATTGTTGTTGTTGTTGTTGTCGTCGTCGTGTTGTTATTGTTGTTGTTGGTGGTGGTGGTGGTGTTGGTGTTGGTGTCATGTTGTTGTCGTGTTGTTGTTGTTGGTAGTGTTGTTGATGTTGTTGTTGTTGTTGTTATTGTTGTTTTTGTTGTTGTTGTTTGTTGTTGTTGTTGTTGTTGTTGTTGCTGTTGTTGCTGATGTTGTTGTTTAACTTTTATGTCAAGTATTTCTTATGATTGATAATATTGTTGTGTTGTTGTTGTTGTTATTATTATTATTATTTTTATTTTATTTTTTATTTTATTTTTTTATTTTATTTTATTTTATTTTTAAAGTTATTATAGTATCTATACAAATTGAAGTATTTTGATATAATTAATTTTTTAAATCAATAAAAATAAAATAATGTATAGATTTTTTTTTACTTTTACTTTTTCTCTCTCCTAAGTAATGTATTCTTAGTAAATAAATCATTTAAGTCAATTTACATTTTTTTCTCACAAAATATTGATTCGAGTATTTCAAATCTTTTCATAAAAATTAAAATAACAATAAGCAAAACAAAATTATGTTTGAAGAAGTATAAGATTTTGTAGATTTTCTATCAATTTGTTCCTTGTAAAATCTCTTTGATTTAATATGAAATTTATGAATAAATAATCCTTCTAAAACATTAATAACATATATACAAGTGTGTGAATTCATCATAATTTATCACATCATCCAAAAAAAAATATTCTTACCAAGTCAAATTTTTCATATATATATTAAGAATTTAAAAAAAAAATATTTAAATAGGAACTTTTTGAAAATCAAGCATTCATATATATATATATATATATATATCATAATTTATT